AAAAAAAAAAAAAAAAAAAAAAAGAAAAGCAAGACTAGAAGCAGGAATACATAGCAAGAGATGACAACCATGAAAAGCATAAAGTTTTCAGTCTCACCACCACTGACAAATTCCTTCGTCTGTGATTGGTCACATGTCAATGAAACACTTTTACAAAATTCATTTTTAATAAATGTAAAAAGGAAAGTGGGTTATAGGGGGAAGGGGAGGGGTTACAGATCAACGAGAAGAAAGACCTGATTAAAAGGGACATTTCTAAGGGAGGGGAAGAAAGATCAAGGAAAAGAACGTTCTGTTTTCTTTGACATTTCCTGTGACTATCTCATTCACTTCTCCAAGGTCTCAGAAAGGAGAGTGCATTTCACATGTAATAAATATGTACTAGGCAAACGATCTCTATCATTTGGCATTTAAAAGAATAACAATGGCATATTTCGTGACATTAATTTTTTTGCTCATGAGCTAGTTCTAAGATTTGGTGAAGAACCTTGGGTAGACTCCAATATGGGGGGGGCATTCTGATTTAATTCAAACACTCTCCTATAAATGACTCACTGGGTAACTCAAGGTACCCACATGTCCTCTCCACACAAAAAAAGCAACTTCCAAGGTTATGTCTATGCCATGATGCTGTCTTTACCCTCGGCTACACTGCGAGTGTGCACCCTGAGCTCCCTCTCAGCTTTCCTTCAGGAAGCAGGAGCCCACCTGCACCTCATCCCTTAGGATGAGAGGCAGTGTGCGAGAGTTGGGCTGCATTCGATCTGACAAGTACAGGCAGTGTGGACAGCTACCGTGGACAGGCAGGTTGAAACCTGGGACGCCGGAGGTTCTGTCACCAGCTTCAGACTCGTGGGAAGCACAAAAAGATGCATCAGACAACAACACGGCAATGAAGAGCAATGAGCGCCCAGTATACACGGGACACTGAGCCCAGCACCGCACACATGGCTTATGAATCAGGACTGAACCACTGCAGCTGATGTGTTAACATGACACAAGAGAGCGAGAATGTACGATATACATGACACATGCGCCTATGAGAAACGGATACAAGTGACAAATTTAGTACATAGTGTTTGTGTTTCGGGTGTCAGAAACAAAACCGGCCCCAAGTCCCATTCTACTCCATGACAACACTGAAGAACAAAATTTCAGTCTTAAAATACATCTTAAAGTCAGTATTTTCCTTCAAGGAAAAAAAAGTACTATAAATAAATTACAATACAGTGAATTTGCCTGAACTCACTTCGTTTCTGTCTTCCAGCCTTTAAGTCAAATAAAACAGCGTAAAAACTGTACACTCTTAACATGATAGTTGATCTTTTATAAAATAACCTGTCTTCAGAGATGTCGATTTCACAACAAGGAAAAACCAAGCCCTGTTGCTGTCACTATTATAAAATATATATGTATAGATATATGTTTCTTTACAAAATGTGTATATTAATAGCTTTGCACAAATATTTTAAAAGACAAATTTAGCTAATCTAAGAACTTCATGAAAATAAAACAGGCAGATAAATACTTCATGTGCACAACGCACTACATCAAACGTCGTCGGCTGGGAGAGGAGGTATGTTAATCCTTGGTCTTGTGAAAAATGCTATCTTCTCCCTGGAATTAGAAAGAATTGCAGATTAGAAGCTGATCTGAACATACTGAAAGCTGACTGGAAGCTCTCATGACAATGACTTTTTTTTTTCTTACTCACAGAACTAAATTTAAGTTCCCAATAACACATCTCCTTGTATACAAAGTATCTAAATTTTATAGAAGTTGTGAAGGCCTATAAGAGCAGGGGGTTATTTATTTCCACTGCCCAAAACAGTGCCTGGTATATAGCAGGTGTACAGGAAATATTTGTTCTATTTATATGTGAGTAAAAAATGAAAACCTATATGGATAAACGAATTCTAAATCATTATTAAAGTACATTACAATATTTCATGCTAGTTTACAATGGGAATATAAATATTAAGGACATACAATAATTTAGGATAAAAGTCAAGCAAGTATTATTCAGGAATAAGTCTCTACTATGTGGATGAACTTTAAAAAAACATTATAAATGAAAGAAGCTAGATGCATGAGATATGTTGATTTTTTTTTTTTTTTTGGCACCGTGGATTGAACTCAGGACCTTGCACTTGGCAAGGCAGGTGGCAGCACCACTAAGCTAAATCCCTGGCCCCTGATATGTTGATTTTTAAAAACTGACTCCATATTATGATCACAGGTGGCATTTAAAATCGGTGTATAGGAAGAAAGATCAGAAGAAATCATCAAAATGCTACTAGCAGTAGGAATGCCACTTGCAGTGTAGATTACAGTGTTTTTGAAGACTTGCTTTGCTTTTTGTAATAACAGAGGTACAACAGTAAAAAGAAAGCAGTGACTGAGGAAAAGGGGATGGGTGAGTAAAGATGATCAGGATGCAATATGTGCATGTACCAATTCCCCAAGATGAATGCCATTACTGTGTATCACAAACATTAACAACAAAAAAGAAAGTTGGGCAGTGTTCTATTCTCCCATACCTAAAGGTCTGCACTTGGATAGGTTCTTTGTGGTTTTGCCCACGCAGCTGGTAGATCTCTTTGGAGGCCTTCTTCAGCATCTTCTCAGCTGCTTGCTCTTGATGGTAGTCAAGTTTGGTCTGTCTTGTCTGGAACATAAGTATTTGATGAGCAAGATGTTTTTGCTGCTAGCTTTCTAAGGGAAGAAGGATGAGTTCACTCCCAGTCCTAGAGCCAGAAGAACCAATCCAAGCCACAGAGAGAGAAAGGCTATCCTCATCCACCAAGGAATCCCTCACAGGTATCGATGAGGGTGGCTGGAGTCAGGCCTGGCTGACCCAGACCCCATGACATGCCCCCCACAAGGTGGGAAGGGCCTGGGACTCCTTCAGCCAGAGACCCCCAGGTGCATGCTGGTGCCTCCACCAATGCCACCCTCCCAGCTCACAGAGGGGGAGGCCTGGCTCCATCAGCCGAGTGCCTGGAACACTTCAATTCCCACGTCATCACGGGGAGGTGCACTTCAGTACCCAAGCAGAGCCAGAGCAGAGGGCAGCACCCATGAGCAGGCAGAGCTGCAGGCCCAACCTCTCACCTGCTTCTCTGCTTCCTTCAGCAGGCTGCGGAATCGCTCATCCCGGAGCACCCAGTGGGGGAGGTCGGTCTGGCCTCGGAGCTGGGCATCTTCCAAACGCTGCCTCAGCTCACGGAGGACACAGATCTCCTCATTCAGCTGCCTCTGCCGTGTTCTTGATGCCTGGAGATCCAGCTCCAGGTCCAGGGATGTACGGGCCATGAGCTCGGCCAGGGAGGACCTGCAGGACTGTAGTGACAGAGGCTGCGAATGTACATGCCCGCCTGGGCTAACCCACCTGCCTGGCCTTCTGGAAGTTTCTTCCATAATAAACAGGACACTGCTGTGTCACAGGTATTTTCCTAACCATGGTTCGTGTTTAAAATTACATAGATTGGGGCATGATTAAATCTCTAGTTTGATCTCAAAGTCAATAACCACAAATTGCTTTCTTTAATGATGACCTGTGTATTTGTAAAAGTATGGAATAACAGGTCCTCTTATACAGGGATGGCAGGATCAAAACTAAGTACAATCTTTCAGAAGTGTCATTTGATAATACATTTCTAAAATGTAAAATGTGCATTGTCTTTGGTTCTGAGATTTCTTTTTTGACCTGCATGTGAAAGATACAGCTGCTAACATACAAAAGTTGTCCAATTAAGGTTTATGGCAGGGGAAAAGTCCTAAATATATAACAGCAGGAAACTGATTAAATAAATTACAAGGCCAGCATAAAATACAGCCATAGTAAAAGTTGAAAAAACATACTGACATGGAAAAAAATCTTAAAAACGCATGGTGTATGGGGGGGTTACAACCACATCAGTGATTTATGTCTAAAAAATCTTCATACACACCCATTCCTGCGTGCACACACACATACAGGTTATCAAAAACTTTCCTTCCTATGTAAGTCTCAAGTAAGCAAATATGCTGTGTTCTCAAAAGCCCTAAGAGAACCCCTTTGTTCATGGGGTTAGAACAATGGAAACAAGAACCCTGGGACATACTGTAAAAACACCACAAGTCCATTAGCAGATCACCCTTGCTTGGTAGGTTGAATGCATGATTTTATACAAAATGCCATTTTGCACATACACATAACTTAAATGCAAATGTAAGTCCTACTTTAATAACTAAAACTTCCTCTAAAAAGCATAATAAATTCATAGCAGAGATTGGTAGATTTCACTCAAGGGCAATCTGGCAGCCAAGGTTACATCTGGCCATGTTGTAGGGATATTTTGGGGCATCATAACTGGTGTGTGGGTGGATGCCACTGGCAACCAGCAGGTTGAGGTCAGTGATGCTGCTAAACATCCTACAAAACATAATACAGCCCCCAAGGCAAAGAAGGAACTCTCCTAAAATATCAAAAGTGTTGTATTAAAAAGTTTTATAGCTAAATTATGTTCTTTCTTATAATTCTCCGTTGTCAGCTCCTGTGAGTACAACTCCCACGAGGAAATCAGATTTTTAAAAATATATATTCCTAAAGATCCTTCCTAGAAAAGACAAGGACTCACTACCTAACAAACTAAAATCACCAAACTGTATAAGCTGGCGTGATGCAAAAGACCTTGGAAAGCAAAGAAAATGAAAACCACGGAACAGCCCTATGTATTTTGATGAGAAGAATGCTGTATGTTGAAAAACTCAAATTTTCTAAACTATATACAATATGTATATGATATGTTTTCCTATAAAAAAGAAGTAACTATGATGCGTAGGGGAAGAACAAAAAGGGAAAAGAAAAAAATGTGAGAGAATGAAAAGATGAAAATAAAGTGTTTGTAGATGGGGAGGGGAGGAGGGGGTGAAGGGAGGGCAGAGGTAAGGGGAAAAAATGAGAATCAAGACTTGCCATGTAGAGGTACATGATCCCAACAATGAATGTAACTGTACTGTATCCCTAAAATGTACCAATAAACTCAATAAAAT